TGCCCCAGCATGAAGGAAAAGGCAAAGCGGGGCATTTTGATACAGGGGTATTTGTTAGTGATGTCCCAGGGTAGGTAAGGACAGAAAGACCAAGAACCCAGAGCCAATGTGCTGGTCATGGTAGATCTAGTGCATTCACGGCCCCCTTATGGGCCAGCTCCCGGGCCCACCACTGCTTCAGAGGCTACTGCTGGCAGATGACCTGAGCCGAGAGCACGGGAGGACAGGGGAACTGCCGGGCATTGACCTCCAGCGAGCACAGGAAGGCTGGAGACTTTCCGCCTACAGTAGCAAAAGCATGTGGAACATGGAGGTGCTGCGAGCATCCCTGCCCTGGAGTAACCAGGCAGAGGCCAGGACAATGGGGACACAGCAGCCCAGCCTCCTCCCAGTGCAAGGTCAGGCTAGCAGGAGGCAGGCCAGCTTTAAAAAACCACAGAAAGCTTAAATTCAGCTAGCAGGAGGCAGGGCAGGCTTTAAACCCCAACAAAAGGTTAAACATCCAAGCTGCTGTGTAGTGCTTGCAAAGGGAACACTGAAAGATGTTGTGATAAACATTTGCTATGTAAGGCCTTATCTGAAGGCCACGCACGCACACGTGCTCACCACCTTGCTGGGGATTGTCCTATAACCAGGGTTGTTTTTCCCCCCACACAATCCAGAAGTACATCACAGCACCATTAATCTTCGTGCTGCATTGACCCAACCGTTCAGTGTTACCCTGCAGCTGCTTCCTGTGGGAGCCTTCTAGGTAGCCCGGCCACGCTCTGCCCCTCCAGCACTCACAGCAGGTCAGCCCCTGGCTGGCAGGGGGGCAAAGCCCAAACCCAGCAGCTCCCATCTCACACAAATCCAACGCTCAGCAGCACAAGGCCCTGGTCAATCAATCCCACTCATCCAGCACCAGCCCATGGAGACTGCAACCACGTACACCTTGCCCTGCTCAGGGCTGTGCTGTCAAGCCCCCAGCAGCAGGAATCTTGGGTTGAAAAGACTCAGCTGTGAAGAGAAGTTATTTCTTACAGTTAAAATTGTGACTATGTCAGGCAGCAAATAAATTCACAAACTCCAATTTGTGAATGGTGAGATTTTTAACAGGCTATCACTTGGAAGGCAAACCACCCATCAAGGTTTTTGAACAATGAAGTTTCACATGGCTTTCCACAAAATTCTCCTAAAACCAACCTGATTTCTTCTCTTCCCTACCATAACCTCCAAAACCCCAAAAATAAGCTGGCACACCCACGTGACCCTAGGTCAGCCCCAGCTTTTCATAGCTGAGGCTGCCAAGGGCAGCTGGGTTGAAGCCTGGAAGAACAGCCAGCTGTGTTTCTGCACACTCTGCACTGCCAAATCCAGACTGAAAGAGCAAATACAACTTTCAGTGCTAATTTAAGAGATCTGGGTGGTTCTTCTGCAGCACAGGCCACTGAGCAGACACAAGCCATGGGCCTCAAAGCAGCATCTCCCAGCATTTGCCCAACCCGCCTTGGCAGGCAGCTGAGCATTACCTGACCTCACAGCAGGCCCGGTTTACCTCCATGATACCATCCCATCTGATGTTCAGATGACATCAAATACCAGCAGACATTTCAAGAGCTGTTAATGAGGCAGAAGGGGTAGGATGAGGTGATGAAGGTGCAGTTGGCATGTTTGGTAACACGATAGGGGAGTAGCCCCTGGCTGGCCCGACACCTCTGAGGACAGGGCCTCTGGATGCACAGCTCTGCAGATCCCACCAGCCTCACAGCTAGAGATGGATCACAGCAGAGACCAGAGGGCACATTGAACACTTTGCTGGGCAAGTGCACAGCCACTGGGATGCCCCTGGCTGCTGAGAACAGGGACAACAAGCACGTGCACAAGTGAAGCAGCTCTCTGGAGAAAAGGGGAAGTTGCACACCACCACCCCCAGCTTATCGCCTCAGCCGCAACCTCATTCTCGTGAGGTTTTTGTTCCATAAGTTGGTGACAAACAGGACAAATGACTCCTCAAGTAAGCAGCCTGTTAGAATTTCCTGCAGCAAGAAATGCCTGGGAAGACAGACTGTACACTTCTTCCTCAACTTGTTTTCCAGCAAGTACGGATCTGCTCTCAACTGGGCGAAGATGCCAGAGGGTATCAGGAGACAAAGCAGCAGAGAAGCTGGGTTTATTCTGCTGCTCACTTCCCCACCCAATGGACCGTCACCACCTGCACAGCCCCCCTGCTTTCAGGGAGGCCAGCACACACCCAGGGCCACATCAGTACATTTGCGTGCACCAGTACATTTGCACACAGCTGTGCTCGCAAGCATGAAGAGGGCTTAAACCAGCAGCAGAGTCACACGGCTTGAAGTGTGAGCCAAGACAAACCCAGCTTCCTAAACCCTTAGCCTCAGGGCCCTTTCTGTTCTCTGCAACTTCTGTCCCAGCAGAGGGTGATGTTATTCCCAGAAAACCTATCTGGGATACTTACACACTTCCAGCAGCCTTGCTCTGGAAGTTTCAAGGCTCATTTTTTCCTGAATTCCCTCAGCTAACAAAGCCCATGCTCACTGTCTCGCCCACAGCTGGCACACAGGTTGTATCTCCTTCCTTGCCCTCACTATTTGCATACCTCACCATTACATTGCCCTTCCTCTAGGCCAAGCTGTCTCACAGCTTCCACTGCTCCTGCAGTCATCCCTGCTTGCTCCCCAGGGAACCTGAGACCTTCACAGGTCAGTGATCAGTAACAGGAGTCAGGGCCATGCCACCAGGCCCGTGTAACACCAGGCCCTCAGCCAAGCACTGCTGTCACTTCCCAGAGCTCCTGCCCGGGGTTCAGCACTGGCAGCTCTCTGCGGAGTTACACAGTATTTACTGTCACATTATTTACTCAGTGTCCTCTGGCGTAGGCACAGCTTCCCTCCACCCCAACAGCAAAGAGATATGCCTTTCGCTAAGCCTTTAGGGAAACATTCTCTAAGGGCCAGGAGCCTCACTGCATACCTCCAGTGGCATTAGCTATGCTTAATTAATTTTCTAGTTAATTTTAAACCAATCTGCCTGCTTGTGGGAGTAGCAAAGCCTCACAACAGCAACAGATGTTTTGCTGTCTCTGGTAACTTCCCAGATTAGACGTTTCACAAGTAATGCAGCACTCAGTGCTGTTGCCTAAACCATACCAGAACAGTTTGTTTCTGGTTGCCAAGAAATGCCCTCTCTTCCCGAGACTGGGCCCAGGCACATCTCAGTTGATTTAGGTGCTTTGGAGATATCTGAGTGACCATTAGATACACCCAGAAGAAAAAATCCATCATCCACCAACACACTGCTGAGCACAGGTAGACCTATACCACTGGCAAGAAAGAGGGGACGCCACCTCTGGCAACATCCTCAGAGGCTTGTACAGAATGTACCTGAAGTAATAATTACTTCATTCTAAGTATCCTCTCCAATTACTTCATTCTAAGTATTTACAGAAGACTTTATTGCTAAGTGTTACCACTTTGTCCTACCCATCCTCCTCATCTCCAACAAACTGAAGATGTGGCAGAAAAATACATGATTAAGCAGAAAAACTACTTGTAAGATGCTTAGAAAGGAAACTGTTCAAAGCCAAAGAGACATCACTAAGATTGAACTTGCTACCACAGGTAACACCAACAAGCCATGTTCAACATCAATCTGAAGTAGCAAGATCAAGCATTACCAGTTAAGACTGTTACAACTGCTTGTACCAACTCATGCATGTCAGCCCTGACCAGACACTCCTAAACAAACACTGCAGGTGGCACTGAGGAAAAGCACTCCAAGTTTCATGGGTAGCTGTTGTTCCTAGACAGCACATTTCAAGGCAAGTTAAATCCCTGAGCCAAGATAACACATTGCACCACCACCGAGGCACACTGGGTTCAAGGGATCAAATTCTGATCTCTCCAAATACCTGCAGACTGACCAGAGCCTTTATGCCAGCAGCTTTCGGCAAGAAAATGCAACCTACAAGCTATCCAAGGCACTTCAAATGCTAAAGGCTGCTGAAGAATACAGTAAGGAGCTGAGTTTAAGGCTCTGTGAGCATCTTTTGCCCTCATATCCCAAGTGATTTATCATGATTTTTCAATAAAAACAAGGTGAAAGCATAGCCTGTGCTTTGCATGGGTAGTCTTCCAATTGCTGTACAGCATACACAAGTACAGATGTAAATACCTGCAAATTTTATTGGAATTAAAGCCCTTAACCGTATCAGAAATTAAAGGGAACACAATGAAGTAATACAAGAGATGCATCAGAGTTGAATACAGGCATTAGACTGCTTTAACTTTGCATCCAAAAGCAGTGAAGAAGTTTACATCTTACAGAAATTCTTGCTAAATAGAGCTGAACACACACTTCTCCCATGATTTGGCAGAGGGGAATTAACCTTTGAGTTTAAATCATCTGAATTTGGCAACATGAAATTTAGCCTGCAACTCCACTGAGGTAACTGCTTATCCGGAGGTGACCGTCTTACAGCCCTCCACTTTGTCCAACAAGGAAATTGCACCACACATCCTTCACAGGAAAATAGTTACACAGAAAGTGTAAACTATTGTTGAAGCAATTTAACAATAGACTTTCCTAGAAAACTGCTAATGCATATCTAGCAATTTTTTTTTTTGAGATCCTACACTCAGTGTAATTTAAATAGCGTTTGAGACATTCCAACAGGAATCACATTGCACAGAAGCAGCAATTTGCTTCTCTAACATTTTTGCACACCTGCTCAGAGCCTGTGCATTTAGTGCACAAGTTTGTAATGCCAAGCCTCTACATAGGTACCTAATAAATGCTACAGAACAAAGTTTTCTGGAGTGAGGGCAAGCATCTTATTCTCTAGGCTGTAATCACTTCAGGCTTCTTGCTGCTTCGTTTGCTCAGTCAGTGAAAGCCAGAGGAAGTGCCATCCACTTTCACTCCTGGTTTGGAGCTGGTATCTGATTTGCTCAGGTAGACTAAAGCCCATTGCAGTTCCAGACAAGCAGACCAGTGACAACTCAGTTGCGGGTCACTCCAGGCCCTTCTGGAAGGAGGGATGCAAAGAAAGTCTTGAAAAAAACCCATGCTGTGCTCATAAATGAAGGGTTGGCCTGCTGCAGTTCTTGTAGAACTCGTCCCTCATCAGGAGATGCCTCAGGTTCATCTGCTCTGCCTGCATTTCCCTCCTGCCAAAATAAAGGGTATTTGGTAAATGAAATCATTTCAGAAATATGTTAGAAGAACCACATGTCAAACAGCATGTTGTTACCCAAGTGTCACTGTCAGAACAAAGAGTTTACAAGTATTCCTCGACAACCACCAAGTCAAAATACCCAAGCTGCACACTAGTGTCACTGGTTCTCACGCTGCATCCAACACCACTGTTTAGGACAGACATGAAGTACCAGATCAGGTGAACTATGTATGTATTTACAAACTTTCACTGACATCAACCAGAAGCATCAGCTTGAAATGCAAGCCTCAGATGGCTTATTACTCACATCCTGCCCTGAGGCACTACTCTAAACCCTGTCTTCAGCCACAGGAGCTGGTCGGCCTGTGACAGACCGCTCTGCATTACCACATCCTGAAGGACAGATGCAATTAAACATTCAGCCTGAAATATTTTGTAGAACAGAGGCATTAGCTACACCAAAGGAGGACTCAGGCTGGCAATTATTCCCCCATGGGAGATAGTTTCTGACAAATTTTAGAGAAAAGTTTTTGCTACTACATGTAATTAGTGATCTGAAAGTAAAAATCCACAGGGTTTCATGCTCATGGTTTAAAAATTAGCAAGACAAATACCTGTAAGTTATTGTTCTGGTCCTGGTTTATAGCAGCACGGGGAGGAACATTGCCTGGGAAGGGCTGAACTGGTCTTCGTCTAAATGGAAGCCATCCAACATGGTGCCTGGGGAAGGAAATAGGGTTTTATTAATACTCTTAACCATTACTCCTTCCTGTTACACCAACATAGTTCAAGTAACATCTGACTGCTTGCATTCAAAATACTACACTACATCCAGGTCTGTATCTAGCATGCTGCTAGAAGTACAAAGAGCCTGCTTGCTTACTATGTTTCTACACCCTGGGTAACTTCTGTACTCACCCTAGGAAGGGCACAACAAAGAATATGCGAAAGACAGCATTATTATACCAAAACACCACAGGCCATACAGACCTTATTAGAACTCTGTATCCCTACAGCACCTTGTAACTCGCAATATAAACTGTTTGAAGTTACACTTTAAAATTGTCAATAGTAAAATTTAAGGACTTTTAATGAAACAATTAGCCTTCACTCTCCAAGCCTGCATAGAGGTTGGAAGAGCAAATAATTTGAGCTGCTCTAGTTGCAACTCCTACACTACCAACAGGAATTCAAGGGCCTGCATCACCTGTTTTACTGGTCATCAAAAAATTTGAGAAGACACATTATCCTTCTCAGGCAAGACAGCCCAAGCATGTCAGCAGAGGGCCCATTATCTTTGTTGTGCTTCTAAGATTTATCCCAAGTTCCCCTCAAGAGGCACTCAAAGGCTGTTCAGGACACTGCACTCAATTTAGCTTGGTCTGCTTTCTAGAGAGAACACAGCAGAAAAACCTGCACAGGTACATAACTTTGGTGTGAGACCCTCTTCCCAGACTTCAAACACTTGTTTCCCAACAAGCAACTGTCACTTACTACATCAAACCTGCAGGTCTCTCTGCTCTACACTGCCGAGCCATTGGGGCTGAGAGCTACTTAGGTTTCAAATTGTTTTCTAAAAAGCTAGCCACACCAGAAACATTAGTATAAAAAACAGGTAAGATCATCCATTCTTCATTTAATCTAGGCCTAGGCTATACTTATTTTTGGTAAATACTGAGTTATACCAGGACAGAGGAGTGGTTCACCTTTTCCAGGTACAAGAGCACAGAGCTCAGTACTTCAGCAAAACATTTCTGAATACAATAGTAAATATTAATACCACACACTTACAGGTACATCAGAACAGTGCCACCCATAACCAGGAGGAATCTGCTGACACTGGAGTAGAAATAGATAATGTTGACAAAAACATAGAACAGTGTTGCTGAGTAGAGCCAGTCCAACCAATCTCGATTGCCACCCTCCTCCTCTTCCTCCATGAGGGGACCCCCTTGGGCGTTCATCCGCAAGTTCTGGTTGGCCACTGCGTTAACCTGGGCAGCAGCATTCTGGTTTCCAGGCTGATTTTGTGCAGGAAATGGGTCTGGGAGAGGAGCCGGAGGTGTCACTGGTGCCACCGGTGTGTCCTGCAGATGTCGTGCATGGGAGGGGTCAGCAGATGCAGCCGTAGAAGCCAAGCTGAAGTCAGAGAACACAGAGTACAGAATAAGGCTTAGTCAAAGACTTTCACACTTAACACAGGCACTGGAAGTTTCTCCATCTTTAAGTATAGAGTCAGATCACATGCAAGTAGAAGGTATCAAGTTTAGAGGCCACAGAAGGGTTAAAAACAAGTTTTAGTGCTACCCATGACAACAGTTGCATAGTGATTTCAAGTCACAGCAGGCACCTTCACTTTAGGAACAGTAATTCCAATACGTTTTTGCAAAAGAGTTCTTTAGAGCAATCTAAAGGTAGCCTAGAAGGCTTCCGCAAGTCTCAGCTTTCCCTTTGTCACTGATTCCAGTCAGTGCTCTGTGTGCGACTTTAAGCAGTCAAGAAGAAATCCTTAGCTCTTCAGCAGGATTACATTCACTCTACACACACCTGCCCTCCCAAAGAGGGAGAGATCTGCGGTTTGCAAGATTCAAACCCATCAGCCTAAGCAGTAAGCCAAGCACACGACAGTGGCACCTTCCCACACCATTCAGCATAAGTTACAAAAGAGTCTTCCAACCACCACCAAAAGAGGAAGAACTGCCAGAAGCTCTCTACTTCCTTGTATTGCAGTTTCTACTTCCTACTGGTAGCTTTGGACAGAAAACTTACTATTGCATGTAATATTGCCTTGCATAAATCTGCTGGAGCCAGGACATCTGAAGCATGCTGTAGGTTGTATAAGCCGAGAAGCCAGGAGCCACGTTTTGGAAGGGATGCCGAGTTGTTTCCAGCCTTGACCAAGATTTGAACACATTCATTAGCAAATAGCAGACAAACTCCAAGTCGTTTATTACAGGACAATCTAAATAGCTTCTGGTATTTTGTACATCTAAATGCAACACCAATTCTTCCTTCTGGAGTATTAAAGACAACTCTTTACCCACAGGAATAAAGAAAAGATTTTCAACTAACAGAACAGTGCATTTTCCTTTAGCTTCTTCCATAGCCACTAAAGCTTTTATAGATATTCTCTTCATGTTTGGCCCATGTTCTATGGACGTAAACACAGAATGTGTGGCATAAGGAGCTAGCATCCAATGCAAAGCCAACATTTAAGAAAAAACTTAGTGATGTATGTAAAAATTGTATTTACCTGTTACTGGCTTCTGCTGAAGACTGGCCACCAGAAGAGCACCTCAGTCTTTCACCATTTGAGGAAGATACAGATGGTTCTTCACTGGCTTCTGACAATATTTTCAGCTGATCAGCTTTAACCTAGGGACAGCAATACAGTTGGCAAGGTTCATTAAGGACACTAGGCAAGCCTTATGCAAAAAAGGTTATGCCACACTGAACAGGCTCTTATTTTATAACCGCTGCACAGTTTATAATTTTGTACTGCACAGTACCTCTACACACTGCCACAGAACTGACACTGCTCTTGGGCACCATGCCACAAGCACCTCCACCAGTACATCTCCTTAAAAAGTGACTGGCATCTTCACTTTCACCAGATCTACGCCTGTATTTTTTTTTTAATTTATTTTTACATATACAGTCAGGTCCCATCTGGTTACAAAAACGTAATTGGAAAAAAAGAACTGCATTCATGACAGTCTGACTTCCTGGCTATGATGAGTTTGTACTTGCATACACAAACTGCTGTACACAGAATTCAGAGCAGTTCTGTAGCAATACATCCATGTAATAACCAGAGCAGAGCTGGCTCACGTCTAGCAGCCACCAGACATGGGTAGGATAAGCTCAAATCACCCACAGCAGGCACTACAGACACACCACCAGACACATCAGCAGGTCCACTTGCAAGTAAAAGCTGGGTTTGGCCATTTGCACTTAAGACCAGTAAGTACTCAGTTCAAGCACTAAGGCTCCTCTTCACCTTCCTCTCTACAGGCTGAGTCATTAACAAGAGCAGTTCAAGTGTCTTCAGCTCACAGCTGCCTTCTTTCCCCACACCCCACGTACAGAACCCCTTCCACTTGAACAGTACGCCTTCTGCCCACAAGCACAGCCTCTGTCCAAAAGAGCCTGGAATATGACCAGTCATATTCTATTTAATAAAACTGAATTTATCAGAAAGCATTTATCCAAGCATTTCTCCCAAGTGGTGTGTTATAACTAGATTAATTTTCATATTTCTTAATAGGTGCCATAAGAATCTTTACTGATCAACTGTAGAGCCTATTTTTACTCCGCTTCATCCAAATACCTCTTCACATTCCTAAACAAGCTACCACAAACTAGTTCTGCCATCGCACTACCAGGGGAAATCTGCAGTACCAGTGAACTTCAAAATAGCCATTCGACACTTCCCATTTTCAGTCACAGCCCCAAGATTCAGAGCAGCACTTTAACTCAGCGTAAGTACCTCCGCATTGGTTTCTGGCACATTTGCAGGAGTCTTGAAGTTGTATACCAAATGCAGAGCATGCAACTCCCCGTGCTAAAATGCAAGGGAAGACAGGTTAAAAAAACCATTCACTTTTCTTGATATATGTGAGCACATCCTAAAAGATTTTTTTAATACCTTTGGCAGCAACTCTCTCAGATAATGATGATCAAGCAACAGCTTCCCAGAATAAATCAGCTTTTGGTCCTCTTCAGGCTTTGCAGAAAGAAAACAAAGAATTGGATGAGCTGCTCTGCCAGGCAAGGATTAACTGACACAACTTGCAGCCAGAGGGATGGAGGCATGCAGCTGGAAGCACATTAAGGCACACAGGGAACCGCGCACATCTAAAGTCAGCTCACGAGATAAAAGCAACTGAAGTGCAAGATTACTAACACCCAGGTTAAATCGGCAGGACGATATAAAGCACCCCTTCGGCAAAGGGCTTTGCTACACGCTGTCTCTTTTACGGTCCCAACAAAACCAAAACCATTTGTGTCTCTCAGTGGAGTACCATCTAAGGCCATCAGCACTAGCGATGGGGTCAAGTCAATCTGTTCCACCCCAGCAGCTCTTCGCCCGCTTCCTCCCGCAGCACAGCGCTCGCTGACAGCTGATCGTGGTTCTGGGCAACCGCCTCACCCCGAGGGAAAGCGAGGTGAAGAACCCCGGCTGCCGGGCGCGGGCTCAAAGGCCCCGCGGGTCCCAAGAAAGTCAAACTTCTGCATTT